CTGCATCTCTCCCTGTCTCGTCCACATCCCTTCTCTCCCCTCCCTGCCGTCCCCTCTTCCGTCTCTCTCCCCCTTTTCCTCCATTCCCACCACTCAGTCTCGTCCCATCCTGTTCCCACTGCCCCCTCTTCCCCACTGCATCTGTCCCCCTCGTCCACTCATCCTGTTCACGCTCCGCACGGCTCATCTTCCCTGCTTCGGTCCCAATCCCTCCCCAACTCACCTGCTCTGTCCCACTCACTTTCCTTTCCTCTCCCTGCTCGTCCACTTCCGTCCTCTGTCCCTGCACTCCTTCTCGTCCTCCCCACGTCCCTCTCCATCCATCCTGTCTCGTCCTCACTTCCTTCGTCCCACTGCTCCTGTCCTCGTCCCACATGCATCCCTTCCCCCTCTTCCCACTGTTCGTTCTCTCACTTCTCTCCACTGCATCTCGTCTCGTCCTCTCTCTGTCGTCCCACCTACACTCTCTGTCTCTCTCCCACCATCGTCCTCGTCCGCTCCACTCTGCTCTGCCTCCCTGCTTCCTGCTCCCACTGCTTCCTGTCTCTCTCCCATGCTCCATTTTGTCCCTCCTTCCTGTCTCATGTCCCGTCCCACTGTCTCGTCCCTGCTCTCGTCCCCTCATCGCCTCCCCATCCATCCTGTCTCTCCACACTCCTCTGTCTCCGTCCCCACCTGTCTCGTCCCTGCTCTGCGTCCCCGTCCCCTGCTCCTGTCTCGTCCCACTTTCTGTCTCGTCCCTCTCCGTTCCTGTCCTCCTCCCTGTTCCTGTCCTCATCTCCCACTCCCTGTCCTCTCCCCTGCATCCTGCTCGCCCCCTGCATCCTGTCTCGTCCCTCATCCTTGTCCCGTCCTCTCTCCTGCTCTTCGTCCCACTGCATCCTCGTCTCTTCCCGCTCCACTGCCTTCTCTCCCACTGCATCCTGTCTCGTCCCACTCTGTCTTCCTCTGCTCCCCGTCTTCCCTGCCGCCCTGTCTCTCCACTCGTCCCACTGCTCCTGTCTCCCACTGTCTTCCCTGTCTCCTCCTGCATCTGTCTTCCCATGTCGTCTCGTCCCGACTGCTCCTGTCTCTCCCCACTGCATCCTGTCTCTCCTCTCTCCCTGCTCTTCCCTCTCCGTTTCCACTCCTGTTCGTCTCTCCCCACTGCTTCCTGTCTCGTCCCCCTTGCTCCGATTCCACTTCCCCTCCGTCCTGCTCCCCACTGCTCCTCCGTCCCCCCTGCCATCTCCTGTCCCGTCCCCACTGCATCTACTGTCCCACTCATCCTGTCCGTCCCACTGCTTCCTTCTCGTCCCATCTCCTGTCCCACTTCTCCCTTTTGTCCCCCCTGTCTCGTCCCATGCTCCTGTCTCGTCTATATCAGGTGAGGCTGCCAAATCCAATTTTCAGTATATATTTTTTATTAATGTGTGTTGACTGACATTACTGAAGCTTTTATATGATCATATGATATGTACGCTTATTCAAACAAATGATAATAATTAAATTATCATTATTATTCTAATCAAAAAGAAGCGCTAAGCCTCAAGGGCTATACAGCAATAATAACTAAATAAGTTGGACCTTTTGTGTATCCATATACTCTTGCATCAACCACCACAGGATGGACTTGAGGTGCAAAATAAACAAACAATTTCGGTGACAAAATCTAATCTAAAATCTCTCATTCTGTGTTCACAGTTTTCTTTCTTCCATATTTTTAGGGAATCTAAAAATCCTTGACTGGTGTTGAACAGGCTACATGCAACCTTAATAATCCTCGTACAGTCGATAGGCTTCAAACCCAATTAATTTACCAACTAATTGCTTTTACTGTGTTGTTGTAGTGTTTAAAAAAAATATGTACTTCTAAAATAATTCCCCATGTCTTAACAGGCCTAATACTTACAATATTTCCTTTCCCATTTAGTAGGCCTTTTTTCAGAATTTATTAACATAGATTAACAGATATTTATCGGTGAGAATACACAGATATTTATCGGTGAGAATACACAGATATTTATCGGTGAGAATACACAGATATTTATCGGTGAGAATACACAGATATTTATCGGTGAGAATACACAGATATTTATAGGTGAGAATATATACATTATGTGCTCCGTTATGGCGTGACATTGAATATGTTGAGCCTAGTTGGGATGGTTTAAAGTGGGAGTAGGCGGTGATAGGGATGGAATAAAGACATGGGATAGGTAGTTTTAGCAGTAGGTTCTAAGTAGAGGTTGAAAGAGCAACAGATGGAGAAAGTATGTGAGGGTAAGAATGGAGAGAGATATGAGTGTCTGGCGAGAGGTTTAGGGGCGGGATTTCGGAACCCAGGGATCAGGTTCTAGGGGGTACTGAATCCAGGAATCAGGTTCTAGGGGGTACTGAATCCGGGGATCAGGTTCTAGGGGGTACTGAACCCAGGGATCAGGTTCTAGGGGGTACTGAACCCAGGGATCAGGTTCTAGGGGTACTGAATCCAGGGATCAGGTTCTAGGGGGTACTGAATCCAGGGATCAGGTTCTAGGGGGTACTGAACCCAGGGATCAGGTTCTAGGGGGTACTGAACCCAGGGATCAGGCTCTAGGGGGTGCTGAATCCAGGGATCAGGTTCTAAGGGGTACTGAACCCAGGGAACAGGTTCTAGGGGGTACTGAACCCAGGGATCAGGTTCTAGGGGGTACTGAACCCAGGGATCAGGTTCTAGGGGTACTGAATCCAGGGATCAGGTTCTAGGGGGTACTGAATCCAGGGATCAGGTTCTAGGGGGTACTGAACCCAGGGATCAGGTTCTAGGGGGTACTGAACCCAGGGATCAGGCTCTAGGGGGTGCTGAATCCAGGGATCAGGTTCTAAGGGGTACTGAACCTAGGGATCAGGTTCTAGGGGGTACTGAACCCAGGGATCAGGTTCTAGGGGTACTGAATCCAGGGATCAGGTTCTAGGGGGTACTGAACCCAGGGATCAGGTTCTAGGGGGTACTGAACCCAGGGATCAGGTTCTAGGGGGTACTGAACCCAGGGATCAGGCTCTAGGGGGTGCTGAATCCAGGGATCAGGTTCTAGGGGGTACTGAACCCAGGGATCAGGTTCTAGGGGGTACTGAATCCAGGGATCAGGTTCTAGGGGGTAATGAAGCCAGGGTCAGGTTCTAGAGGGAACTGAACCAAGGGTCAGGATCAAGCGGGTGAAGAACCCAAGGTCAGGTTCAATGGACAGTGAAGAGCCCAGGATCAGGTTCTAAGCGTACTGAACAACAGGGCCAGGTTCTAGGGGCTACTCAACCCAGGGTCAGGTTCTAGAGGGTTCTGAACCCAGGATCAGGTTCTAGAGGGTACTGAATCCAGGGTCAGATTCTTAGTGCACTGAACCCAGGATCAGGTTCTAGGTATACTGAACCCAGATTCAGGTTCTTTGGGGTGCAGAACCCAGACTCAGATTCTATGGGGTATAGAATCCAGGGTCAGGTTGTAGGAAGTGCAGAACCCAGGGTCAGGTTCTAAACGGTACTGAACCCAGGGTCAGGTTCTTGGGGATGTAGAACCCAGGGCCTGGTTCTTGGGGGTGCAGACCCCAGGGCCATGTTTTAGGGGGATACTGAACCCAGGGTCAGGTTCTAGGGGTTCAGAACCCAGGGATATGTTCTAGGGTGTACTTAACCCATTGTCAGGTTCTAGGGGGGGGGGTACGCCATCCCAGTCAGAGTCTAAAAAGTACTGGACCTAGGGTCAGATTCCAGCGGTTCAGAATCCAGTGCTGCGGGGGGGGGAGGAGAATGCAGGGCCATGTTTTAAGGAAGTACTGAAGCCTGGGTCAGGTTCTAGGGTTTTCGGAATCCAGTTCAGGTCTTAGAAAGTATTGAATCCAGGGTCAGGTTCTAGGGAGTAATGAACGCTAGGTCAGGTTCTATGGGGTACTCAACCCATGTCAGGTTCTAGGGGTTATGGAATCCAGATCAGGCTCTAAAAAGTATTGAACCCAGGGTCAGGTTCTAGGGTTTTCGGAATCCAGTTCAGGTCCTAGAAAGCATTGAATCCAGGGTCAGGTTCTAGGGAGTAATGAAAGCAAGGTCAGGTTCTATGGGGTACTCAACCCATGTCAGGTTCTAGGGGTTATGGAATCCAGATCAGGCTCTAAAAAGTATTGAACCCAGGGTCAGGTTCTAGGGGTAGGCAGATGAGCATGCGACAGAAATGAACGGAATACTCACCTGTTTGACGTCACACTAATTACCCACCTTCCTGTTGTCTCCACTTTCCCTCTCTCGCTATAGTTCTCCTCTCTCTCTCTCTCTCTCTCTCTCTCTCTCTCTCTCTCTCTCTCTCTCTCTTTCTCTTTCTCTTTCTCTCTCTCTCTCTCTCTCTCTCTCTCTCTCTCTCTCTCTATCTCTCTGTTATTTGGTTCTCTTACTGTTTAATTCACCGTTATAGTGAGCCTAGCACTGTTTTAATCACCTGTTGCGTAGCCCTTCGCCTCTGTTAACGGGATACATGTGCTGACATACACACTAACGGGTGCACATGTGCTAACATACAAACAATGACTGGTGCACATGTGCTAATACGTACACATACCGGTGCATATGTACTAACACAATAATGGGTGCACATGTACTAACACAGTAAGGGATGCACATGTATTAACACACACACAGTAAGGGGTGCACATGTATTAACACACACACAGTAAGGGGTGCACATGTATTAACACACACTAACACATCAATATGTGTTAAACAAGACGTCGAACAACGAAAGCACATACTTAATGTTCTTGGAAGACTCATCTAAACAGAAAGAAATAAACCTATTTGTGCTGGAAAACCACACACACACACACACACACACAACACACACACACACACACACACACACACACACACACACACACACACACACACACTCACACACACCATTTATCCTCCTGTGGTGCTGAGAGTCACCTGTGTAAGGTGAGTGAGAGAGCATTTACTCTGACCTTTGGGCTACGAGGCACAAACCTGACTCTTACCTTGATACAGAGACATAGCGAGAAGGGGAAAGTAGCTACAATAAGTAGATAGGAGATGATTGTGAGGATGAAAGCACAGAGGCCGGGGCTGTCCGTGCTGGCTGAAAGAGAGAGAAGGCTTTTGTTAGACAACAGATTAACTGGGCGTACATGAAAGGTTAAACAAATCTGGTTCGTTGTGATTCTTACTAGATCTGAGCAATTTACAGTATACTCTTTTAAGCTCCTCTATACAGTGGAATTCTTTTTAAAAAGCGATCGAGAAAGTGTCTCCAAAATTAAATAGCACGTGAAAGGCTCTCGCAATTCATGCAATTGAATTTTGTAAGAACCTTTTCAACTGCAATATATAGCTTTGCAAGAGAACTGACTGGTCAATTTGTATGAAGATTTATATTTTTCAATGTATATTTATTGAATGTTCTTTAGCCAATGGAATTCTCATGTTTAATTGTTAGGTAATGCATTATTATATATTATTGTGGAATGTTTCATTGTTGTGATTTATGGTAAGTCAGGTACATCAGAGAACCATTTGAGACTTTAAAAATTTTTGCGATGTGATGAGAATAATTGTTTACCAATGTGAGTTATGGGTTTATTTACCAAAACCCTGCACTTTGGAGAGAAACCTTTTGTCGAAGTTTCGGTCCGTCGTGGACCAATGTCGAGTCACATCTTAGTGGTCCAGGATGGGCTGAAACGTCGTCTAAGTGGGGTTTTTGGGTGAAATGTTCCAGCCATGGTGCTGTGATCTTTTATTCTCAAGAGTGATAGGTTAGCTTACCAAATCGTAATAACTCACCAGCCCAATGCTTTGACCACTGGTTAATGCAATGGCCTGTGAGTTAGAACTCACCCGCCATGGGTTCGAATCCCACCCGTTCTGTGATTTAGTGATGGGTTGGTTAGATTTTTTGTTACATTTACCCATTATCAAATTACTAACGCTTTTTGTAAGACAAAAATTATGTTACACTGAGCAAAATTGCTAAAACATTAATGGGTGTTGGAGTTCCTCAGCAGGAATTCCAGCTGAGGAACTTCCAGCTGAGGAACATCCTCAGCTGGAAGTTTCAGGTGTATATAAAATAACTTCAGCAATAAAACATAGCAGTTTGCTAGTTTACATTGACCAAAATAACATTAATCATTCATTTTATGCGTTTAACCCATGTGGGTCATTCAGCGCAAGACGCGGAGGAGGCTCGATCTTCCGTCTGCTGAGCGCCAGACTTCCACGCTTCCTATTTGCCCTCACCTATATCCGAACGTAATGAAGGTAGGTAGAGTGCTCTTATCGACCTGGTAAACCTGTTCAGCTTAACTCAAGCTCCACCGCCGCAGTAGAAACTCTTCAAATATTTTCTAGATCCCAAATACTAGAGAGAGGATGGTGTCCCCGAGTGTCTGGGCTCACTTTCTAAAGTTTTGGTAAAAGTCACATGAATAAAAAAGGTTTTTAGAAAGGAACATTCTACACCATGGGAGAAGCACATCCATATCCCTCCATTTTTTTCCGTGGATGGAATGTTAAAGGGTTTCAATCTGATGAATTGTGTGCGTGTTAAATGCATTATAGAGAGATTAAACTGTGTGTTATAAGTACGACGATTGTGTTTATACCTAGATACACCGATGGCTAGACTACCTAGAAACTGATAGTTTATGAACTCTAATATCTAATTCCTCTAGAAAAATAGGTGTTTTTAGTTCTAATCTCTACTCCATTAGTACTGGATGAATTATTGTTTCTAGACACTTCCAAGATTTTTTTTTTTTTAAACCCAGATGTTTTCCACCGAGGCAGCATGGACCGTGAAAGAGGGAACAGCTACACAAACAGTCGGTATTGCCAGAAGAGTCCTGATATTATAGTTCAGATGGCCCTCCTAACTACCACATCCTCATCCCTCCATGAGAGGGCAGGCACTGTATTTTCCAATTACAGGATTCAAGTCCGGCTAACCTGTTTCCTTGAATCCTTTCATAAGGGTTACCTTGATCACGCTCCATCTTACGGCCACCCCTGATTTACATGTCCTAGTCATTCTGTTTTCCTCTATTCTCCCTAAATGCCAAAACTACCATAACAGCCCTGCATCCTAATAAATATTCCTTTAGGTAACTTTCATACCTTGTAATCTGCAAACTACAAGCATAATATTCACACTACACACACATTGCTCTCAAACACCGCTCCACTGCCTTCACCCTCCTCATCGCTGCAATATTTAACACCCATTCTTCACGCTAATTTACTCGCAACAGTGTTGGTAGCACTATACTCGGGTACATTCGACATTATATTTCTTGTGTTCAGTGGTTCACTTCATCTTTCAGTCTTGTCTTGTGAAAAATCTCAGTTTTTCATTTCCTAGATTCTTTGTTTACTTCGATCACTTGACTCTTTCCATGTTCACTATTAATTTCCCTCTTTTATATACCCTCCCTAATGCGTCTAAAAACTTTTGCAACCTCCCTTCAGTGTCTCCCCAAAAAAAGTGTCATCTTTAAATATCAACTGCGATAACTATCACTTTGTGTTAGATTAGTTATCTTTCAGCCTCAAACTTCCCCCCGACACCCTAGCATTCAGTTCTGTGACAACCCCCTCAAGAAATATGTTAAATATCTTTGTGATATTATACGTCCCTGTGTATGGCCTACTTTTTTGGCAAAATAATCTCCTCTCCAGCATACCTTAACATGAGCCTCACTATACACTATAAACTCTTTTGAGCAATCTTGCACCTGTTCCACACATTGCCACATTGCTATCATATCTACTCTATGTAAACCATACCCCCGGCCGGGATTGAACCCGCGGTCATAGAGTCTCAAAACTCCAGCCCGTCGCGTTAGCCACTAGACCAGCTAGCCACAATAAGATTCATCCAACTAGGTATATTTCTACACCATAGGAAGGTTAGCACAGGCATCTCTGTGACCACAAATGCAAGTTTTGAGACTCTATGACCGCGGGTTCAATCCCGGCCGGGGGTATGGTTTGTTTGCAATCGTGTCATTACGATTTCTTGAGTCATGTCTACTCTGTTTTACCTTTGCTAAATCCTAAAATGCAACAAAAAGTTCCTTACCTTTATCAAACATTGTTGAATTACATTCATTAATGAAA